GGGGGGGGGGGGGGCATAAAAGCCCCCTTCGGCTCAGGAATGAGGGCAGGTCTGCCTGTACGCAAGCGGTTTCGCCCTCACGATGACCACAAGGGGCTTGGCAGAGGTTTTAGTGGGTAAGATCTCCCCCATATTCCTGAGGAGAGAGAGAATCCACACTACCCTCGAGGAGGTTCTGTTCTCCCTGGGAGTGTGCGTAATGCATTTCCTCTGCCTTAACAAAAAAATTCTACAGAAGTGCAGAGTTAATTTCTCACAACTTTGCACCTCTGTATACTCTTCTAACGTCCACCAATAATATTATTCTTTATAAAATTTTGGATTCTAGAGACTTGAACGTTGCCAACGTTATCTCCTCTTTTATTTATGAATTTTGTCTGCTTACCGGCACTTGGTTGCAAATTTTGCCGACAAAATGGCATCAAATTTGGTACAACATCTGTTACATCAAACGTTGGGAAATTGTTGGTAAAAATAAGACAAAGCTTATTAACAAAAAGTGACGCTAAATTGGTAGCAAGGTAAATGTTTACTTTAGAGGAGTCACCTTCGATAACCTTGACATATGTTATAGAGGTCACCCTCCTGAGTAACCTTCAGAAGGTTTTATCCGTCGCTCGTTGTTTGTTGAAAAGTTATTAACAAGAGAAGTTTGACAAATAGAACATAATTTTACAAAGTATACATTGAAACATGGTGAATAGTACACGTATATGCGCGGAGGAAAGGGCTCCGCTCCTCCTTCCGTACTCCTTCCCCAAAAAACTAACCCTAACCTAATCTATTTATTGAAGTATGGTAAACTGTATCGTATATTCCCGAAATAGCACAAGACAATCCTATGAATATATATAATATACATTATATTTAAATATTATATTTTAAGAATATTCTTCAAGAATATTTGGAATATTCCATAGACATTCGTATATATTCATGGTGTGTTCGTAGAACATTCGAATGGCACTAATTTAAATATTCTCAGAATGTGAATGGAATAATCTACCGAATATTCTATATATTAAGTTATGAATGTTTATAGAAAATTCCGAACGAATATGAACAGAATGTTTATATTTATAAAAATATTAACATTTTTCTCTTTTCCTAACTTTTTCTTAAATTTTCCACTTTATTGTTTCACACGCTGCTTAATTTAATTTAAATTGTATTTAAAAAATTTGCTTATCATGCTGGGATTCGAACCTCTGCTTCTAGGTCGTTCTCGTTACCTACTTCGCCACTGTCACTTTAACTGAGAAACAATTTATATTGTATACATATGATATATCCATGTACGAAAACAAATGATTTCATTAAAAGTAGACAATAGATCCTTCTAAATGTAAAAAGTATGTGTAACAAGTATGTGAAAAGTATATTTTAAAAATATACTTGTTTTAAATATACTTGTGTGAAAAGTATATTTTAAAAACTTGTTTTAAAAATAAGAAAATATAAATGAATCACTTTGTAAATTTAAATAAATTGTTTTCTGACAATAAGAGAAACTTTAATTTGAGACAGAAAAAAGATACATTTAATATTACGAAGTTTATTTAGATTTATAAAATAATTTACTTATATTTTATTATTTTTAAATTTACTTGTATTTCATTTACTTTTAAAACAAGCAAGTATTTATTTAAACAGTTTTTACATTAGAAAACAAAATTTCTTCTTGTAAGAAAGTTATTTATTTATTCTTATATATTGATATTTTTAAAAATCAAAGATATCATTTTTTTTAATCTAGAAATTCATAATTTTACAGCTCATCTTATAAATAAAAAATATTACGTTATATTTATTATGTGTTCTACAAATATTTTTTAAGTTAAGAAATTATATTTAACAAAATATATTTGTTTAATTTAAAGAATTTTTTCAGTGTACATTACTAATGTAATTTAGAATTTTTTATTTTTTAATTTAATAGTTATAAATAGTTACATTTATTTTTTTTATGTATAATAATTGTAAATAGAAACATTTACAAAATATTACTACAAATATTTATTCTTTGTTTATTATAAATATTGTATAAAATATTTAGCCTATATTTTAATATTTTGAATAAAGATTTTGATACTTTTTCCTTTTATGTTCCTAAAATATTTATAAAATGTTACTACAAATATATATTTTTTTTACTATAGATATTGCATAAAATATTTAGTCTATATTTTAGTAATGTTTTGAATAAAGATTTTGATATTTTTGTCCTTTATATACTGTGACGTGGCAGTGGTGCAGCTGCGCGTTACCAGAAGATTAGGCTGTCCAAATAAGAAATTAGCTCGATTTCTTAGAGATTGTTCGGGTTAAGCCGCGAGAAATTCGTGCGAATGTTTATGTTTCCTATAGCGGTGTGTTTACGTGTCGTACCATTGGCGTAGCTATCGGAAACATTCGAATTTTTATGTTAGATTGGCGATTCGCGCGTCTCGAATACCTGTGTTCTCGCGGTTCCCGAAACTGACAACAGAAGGTCGAGGCTGAGGAGACATGGAGACGCAGCGTAGGATAAGAGTGCTCTCGCTCTGGGAGATCCCAAAAAGAACCGGGAGCGGTGCACTTGGACACAGCACCGTATGATTAGAGACATTTGTAGGGTCCCTTGGAACAGCGACTTGTGATTGGACTGTGTCCAATTACCCCGTGTCCAACTGATATACACCCAAAAGAACCAGGGTGAGTCCTTACCGCTCAAATATTGGCGATAGTATCGAGTATCATATCGTTCTGAACTTGGGTGCGGCTGACCTTGTACTCGTCTTCCGATTTGTAGAATACCTGCTACGGAACAACAACAGCCCCGGAACAAAGAGGGAACGACGCAAGGGAAAACAATTGATCTCAGAAGAAACATCCATATCAATAACGAAAGAGCGGTGGTATTCCAAAACGAAAGGATCATTCTAGAGATCCGGGTACCGGAAGGGTGCAGGGGAGCACAGCCTTATTTAGAGGAACTCGAGCTCTGGCAAGGCACTCCTTCCCGTATTATCGTATCGTATAAGTCGTGTATTCTGAACACCACGCCATCGGGTGAATAAGACCAACGAGCGAGTGGACGAGAGCGAGAGAGCGAGCGACAAAGGAGCGGCATTTAGGCAAACAAGAACTGACCGGAGAACTCCAGGCCAGCAGCGGAGCCATCGATTGTGTAAGAACGCCAATCCGGATCTTGTCGCAATATCAGTTGAAAAAATTCGTGATTAGATTACTGTTGATGACGGATGAGGACGAGCTGCTGCACTCAGGAGTTGTACACCGAGGTATCACTCGCGTTTTGGTGGCCGCGATCCCTTCAGGGGGAGGGGGGGGGGCAAAATTTGGTGCGAACCAATCGAATTCGACATCCTTCCGCGTTGCGTAGCGATTGCCTGGCTGGGCCTGAACCGAAGTGTCGGAGCGGACGGTCTATCCC